GACTTCAAATTATACTACAAAGCTATAGTAACCAAAACAGCATGGTACTGGCATAAAAAGAGGTACCCAGACCAAAGGAACAGAACAGAGAACCCAGAAATCAACCCACATACTTACAGCCAATTGATATTTGACAAGGGCAACAGGAACATACATTGGGGAAAGGGCCATCTCTTTCACAAGTGGTGCTAGGAAAACTGGACATTCATATTTGTAGAAGAATGAAACTAGACCTGTACCTCTCTCCATGTACCAAAATCAACTCAAAATAGATTAAAGACTATCAATATAAAACTACTAAAAGAAAATATAGGGAAAACACTTCAGGAAGTAGGACTGGACAAAGCCTTTATGAACAAGGCTCCAAAAGCACAGGGAACAAAAGGAAAATAAACAAATGAGATTATATCAAACTAAAAAGCATCTGCACAGTTAGCAGAACAAAAAGAAACCTACAAAATGGGAGAAAATACTTACAGACATATGAAAAAATGCTCAACATCACAAAGCATCAGGGAAATGCAAATCAAAACTACATGAGATATTATCTCACATCAGTTAGAATGTCCATTATCAAAAAGACAGAATAGCAAATGCTGGTGAGGATGTGGAGGAAGGGGAATCCTTATACATTGTTGGCAGGACTATAAATTAGTATAGCCATTATGAAAAACAGCATGGAGTTTCCTCAAACAAGTAGATAGAAGTGCCATATGATCCAGCAATCCCACTGCTGGGTGTACACCCAAAGAAAAGGAAACCATCAAGTAGAAGGGATACCTGCACTCCCATGTTTATCACAACTGTATATACAATAGCTAAGAATCAGAACCAACTTAAATGTTCATTGAGGGATGAATGGATAAGGCAAATGTGGTATATATACAGAATGGAATACTAGTTTACTTTGCCCTAAAAAGGAATGAAATTCTGTCATTTGCAGCAACACAGGTGAACTTAGAGAAAATTATGTTAAGTGAAATAAGCCAGGCAGTAAAAATACCACATGCCATCACTCATAAGTGGGAGCCAAAAAATAAATAAATAAATATAAAAAGAAAGAAAGATACAACAATCACAATATTTTGTTGAACTTTCAAAAGGAGAGAATGGAACTGAGGCCATTAGAGGTGGGAAAAGGGGAGGGGGAGGGAAGTTAGTGAGAAATTGGTAAAAGGCCACAAAAATGATTACAATGTATAATAATAAATAT